AGAAAGAAACCAGAAAATATTCACTGAAGAAGCTGAAATCACTGAGTTTAGACTGATTGTAATAAAAATGACTGATTAATGGATGAGTTTTAAGTAAAGAAGCAGATCACAGCTGTTTTAACACTTTCATTCTGCTTCTGAACATTTTGAGCTTTAAGCACCAAACTATTTCATGTGTTTACTCTCATTTGCTGAAAAGTGTGGCTTGTTTGAGCGTATATATGTTTAAAAAAACTTGCACCTTCAGTATGAACGTCATCATGAGAGCAGCACAGCTTCGTCGGGGTCACATAAGTCCACGAGCCGCTCTGCTATCTCTGAGCGCTTTAAGATTCCACTCAGCCTCTGGGCCTTTTGTCTCTAAAACGCTGGAGCAACATTACTCTCCGCTGGGGCTCAGTAAAATAATCTTCCCGGCTCCTCTCTAACCGCTCTGCCCATGTTCTCACCAGGAGAACACTATCTGAGCATGACCGAGGGCTGCCTGGCCGCTGCAGAGGCTGCATGCATGCATGCCCGCCTGAATAATTTAATATTTACAATCAATTCTGTTCCACTAAGGCGGGCGGGGTGAAGGCTGGCTGGCGTTGGTGCTCGACAGGCCGCGGGCTGCAGGCAGGATGTCTGGCTGGAACACATGATTCAGGACTTTAATGTTTATTATTGTGACTTCTTCAATTTGTTTTTCTATTTTGGTTAATAATCCAGACGCTAAGTTTATACAAGTTCTGTTTTGTTGGTGCCCAGGATTTAGTCAATGGATAAATCTTTTAACAAATATCCCACAAAAGGACAAAAAACAATAATGAAATATTTTTCTAGCCAGCGTTGCCAGTGAAATGGGATTTATTTTACCCTGCGGTGCCATTATTGTCCAAAAAAAATGGTTAAAAACACATAACTGAGCGACACTGCTGCATCATTTTAAATGCTCACTGCTGTGGCGCAACGAACACTTACGTCAAGTGTGTATTTATCTGCAGCTGAAAAGTCCTGTAGCTTATATATATATAGTCCAGTTTGGTTGACTCTTCAGCCAGTCCAATCGACCATCACCAATAAACATAAAGAGCTGGTATTAGCAGCATATTAAATCAGTTTAGTGTGGTTATTTTTTTACTGAAATCATAAAAGCAGCTGCCCACGTTCTTCTGAATATAGAACTCTTATCAGCTGGTGGTCTCGATGAGTTAAACTGTGATACACAAACTGCTAAGTTTCTTCTCTTTGACCATCTGTTTGAACAAAATGTCCGTCGCTCCCGCTGCCAAAAACAATGGATTAATCCCACAAGGCTGTGGATGTAGAGCTTGGTTCTCCTTGTAAAAGCAACTGTCGATCCGGCGAGACTTTGTCGGGATGAGAGCAAATCGACCAACGAATCGAGTTGCAGACTGCAGACTCACTAGTATGAGTCAGATTTACTAGAATATGTAAGCGGTCAGCTGTTGTCGGGAGTTCATGCTGTTATTCTCAAAATAAAAGTATAGACTGTTTTCAAAGATTTGCTTCTTCAGAGTGACGTAGTTGACCTGTGGTAGGGACGCTGGAATAAATCAACATATTAATATTTGCATTTTGAAGTATTAATGAAGAAAAAGTTACTGGAAACAGCAAAGTTCAACGAAACCTCCTCACACAAAGGTTTACACTCGTTCGAGGTGGTTGTTGAGTTAAGCAGAGTTAACACATTTCACAGGAGATAGAAACACCTTTTTATGAATAAGACAGCAAAACGTTTCTGTCGTAGGTGACTCAAGTTTAGTTCGTTTCTGGATGGCAAACAGCCAGCAGGTATCGGTGCCACCTTCTGACAAGACTGCTGTTCTATTCACTCCTAAACAGTTAACGAGCCTAACGGGTATAAATGTCTGGATTAAACTTATTTTGTTTCTTTTTGCTTTACCTAGAACCACTTTTGTTAATAAGGAATCTTAAATATGTTGTAGAGCCTCTTAATGTTGTGTTGGCCGACAGAGAGCATTATGGGGGTTTAGCCAGTAAAGAGGCACCATGACGAAGCCTTCGTTGAGGCTTAATGAGCTCCGACCAACGCTCATGTGTTACATCTAGTCGAGATCAATCAGGACAACATTTATAGAACCGCTGGCGTGTATAATGACCTCTGTTGCTTTTATTGTGTCTTTGCCAGCAGTATAAGTGATAGCAAGTGTGTTGAGTTTATGTAATAAATGATCAATTAGCGATCAAAGTTGCTACGCATGTTAGTTTAATTATGCAACCAAGAAAAAATTATTTATGTCGCTCCAATTCACAACAATTTTTTCTATTGAGGCACCTGAATATAAGCTCCACCCACTAACTTTAAACAGAAAACCAGGTGTGTCCATATCCAGGCTGCTCTGGTCTCTAAGCTGCAGGTGTCCACGTTGGAACATGAGATATTTACACAGAAAGATGTTTTAACTTTTAATTAAATATGTACCGCAGATGCTTTTTTCTGACCAGCGCCTGTAACACGGCTGGTTAAGGAAATAAAACTCCAGCAGCTACCAGGAAAAGTCACTGATCGCTATCTTCATCTTCCTCCTGCACTAAAACCACTAAAGTCGTCTTCTTCAGTGTCTTTAGGAGCTGAACAGCCTCAGAATCACTTCGTCACTTCCTCAGTCTCTCTGTCGCTCTCAGCGTCACTTTGGTCTCGAGGTGAATTCGTAAAAATCCATAAATTAGCTGCATCGTTGTTTAAGCTGCAGCGTTCAAAGCGTGTGAAAAAAGTAGCTGCTTATAGTCCAGACATTACGGTACATCACCTCATAGCATTTACCACAGTAATTTATAAATTATAGAATATTATATGTGTGTATTATATGATTCATTTTGAACAGAGAACCCAACAATACAAAAAGCAAACGTGAAACTGGATGTAAAGAAAGTGTCAAGTGTAGTTTCTTGTGATTCTGATCAGTTGAATTAATCTGTTTTGGGACATCGCTACTAATATAAAATTGTTTTTTTTTTCTATGACACTTTGAAAATTTGGCTTCAAATTTTCTTGACAATCATACGTGAAGCTTGGATGTAGTTGGTTTTATCTTCTTTTATCTCCATCGCTCGTCGAGGTAACTCGGTTAAAGCAGACTGTGTTTACATTTCTATTTGATTGAGTTGTGCTTAAACACATCCTCTCCCCTCTGTGTCTCCTCGCCTCAGGACCTCTTCTCCATCAGCGCCTACGTCTACGCCCAGAGGCCTCAGCTGGACATCCACAGCTTCGAGGGGAACTTCACCAGGGTACAGTAGCTCGCTGACATATTTACAACCCGCGACACACACACACAATCTCAAACGCATGCAGATTTTTTTTCTATAGGAGCCGTGGAAGATGTGTATCAGCGCGGCGTGTTGACAAGCGACAACAATGAGGTCTTGTGTGTCCATCTGGGCCCGTTGTTATCTCCAGCAGGCCTCCCTCTTACATCACAGGCAGCTTCTCGCAGCTCCGTCTTGCTTGTTGCTCAGAGATTTTCTTCTTCTTCTTCTTCTTTTTTTTTTTTTTTATTAATAGCAGATTAGCGCAGCCCCCACAGAGAGGAGAGCTCCAGTACAAAGGGGGGCTTTGTGGTCCGTCTTCACTCTTGGCCACACACCAGGCTTAGTGAGCGAGCACTTCCTGCGCTCATTCATCCTCCGCGGCCTTCCTTTGCAGAGCGTGTGCTTTTAGTCCGAGCAGGATGGGAAAAAAATGGGTTCCCACAGATCCGCAGCAAATGAACTTACCTATTTATGAGGGTTTTTTTTGTTTTTTTTCCCCCTTTTTTTTTCTCGGATATGGCGGCTTTGTTTCTCGCCGTCTTTTTCTCGAGACCCAAGTTATGAACGCCGCGACGCCAATGTCAGAGCGGTCAGAGCGTTCTGCGAAGCTGCCATTTATTTTTCATGCACCTCTTCCCCGCGTTTGAGTGGATTGACAGGATGTGGCTGCTTAGGTATCATAATTATCATATCGGCCCGGCAACATGAGCCGACACTGGACCCCTCGCTCCTGACTCAAGCCATTTTCCGCATTTGACTTTATTTAAGAGAGAGGGGAGTGAAACCGGAGGGGGGGGAGGAGGGTGAAACAAGAGGCTCTCCGGGGGCTTATTTATCACTAAAAATCTCATCTGCTTTCACTCTCTATACTGTTTTAAAAGGAGCCTCTATCGCCGTGCTAAATCTATTGTCCGAGGCGCTACCGTGTCGCCACAGTCTGCACAACTGTGGACGAGCTGCTTGTTAAAATTAACGGCACAGCAAGTGGTCAAGTCGCTGCAGCGGAAAAAAAAGAACTTTGGCTCCATAAAGAGATCTAAAATGGCAAAAGGAAGCTTTTAAATGTGTCATTTTACAGTTTTCGAGTCGAATTAGAGCTTTAAAAATGGTCCAAAAGCACCACTTTAGCACATATACACAACATTGGTCATCAAATAAAATTGTCGTGTTATCTATGAATCATCATCAGAAATACTCTGAATGTATGAATCTGGTCAAGATATAACGAGAAACTTATTATAGTTTTACATTTATAAGCCCTTAGAATTGAATCCAGTCAAAAAAATGTGAATCAAGCTCTGGTTTAATCAAGGTAAGAATCTATAAATCTACAACTAGAAAACTAATTTACAAGCCCTTAGACGTAAATTAAATCCAAAATACAAGCTGACATCAATTCAGCTTATGACAAGAATTTGATGAACAGCATCACTTTTCTTTGTGAAACTCTTTCTGCTTTTGTTTTTCTCGTCTGCTCTGGGGCCACGCAGAGCAACACTAATTAGAAGTTGGCTAATTGCAGAAATAAATTCACTGCATTGAGGTGTTTCTTTCAAGCTGGAATCTCTCCTTTGGGCTGTTGAGTAGATGGAGTTGTTGTGTTTTTTCGTGTCTATAGGATTTTTTTTTTCTTTTCTTTTCTACACAACAAAGTCCCAAAACGGTACAAACAAAACAAACACTGTGAAATAAAACGCGTTAACAACAGCTACGATTGTCGTACAGTTAATCCAGAGTTTAAGGATGATTTTTCCTTGTTTTTTTTCCATTTCTGTCCTGCAGGAAGACACAGACCCACAGATCCATGAGAGTCTGAGCATCGAAAACACTCTGTGGGCCAGTACAGTTGTTGCATCTGGTGAGTTTTGACAGCCGTTACTTCAAATCAGTAACTGAGACATGAAAAAATGATTTGACACCTTTTTCCGTCCGCTTGTTTTATGTGAATATGATGGCTGATATATATCATAAATAAACATGTGCAGTAGCCTTGTTGAATGTCTTCACCGTTCACATAATGGAACAGGTGTTTATTTACAGAATTGTAGCTGATTTATTTTTTAATATTCAATATTTTCATCGACACAAAACCAGTCACCAGCTTCTAGTTTTCTTTCTGTGACACGTTTTTATTCAATCTTACGCAACAGAAACGGTAACTTCCTAGATTCTGCTCGCTTTGGGTGTTTATTGACTTGAGTTAATGCGCTTCATAAGAGGTGGAAGCACGCGTTCTTTTAACGTAGCGACATCTAGCTCGCATGGCTCATTATCAGTTTCTTTCGTTGTCTTCGCCAGCGTGAAACGTGGACGAAACCAGCTGACCTGAAAGACTAGTTACCGTAATTTCTGGACTATTGGGGCACCTGAATATAAGCCCCACCCACTAACTTTAAAAAGAAAACCAGGTGTGTACATATACAGGCTGCTCTTGTCTATAAGCTGCAGGTTTGGAACGTGAGATATTTACACGGAAAGATGTTTTAACTTTTAATTAAATAACTAACATACACAGATACGTAGATGCTTTTTTCTGAACAGTGCCTGTAACACGGCTGGTTGATTAAATAAAACTACAGCAGCTACCAGGAAAAGTCATAAAAATCCATCAATTATTCATCATAGTTTAAGCCGCAGCGTCCAAAGCGTGTGAAAAAAGTAGCGGCTTGTAGTCCGGACATTACGGTACTGCCTGGGAGTAGCAGTTCATCAATGAATTCATCATTTAATCAATAAAAATCATATTAACAGATGAGGCAGAAAACAAAGGATGTCAGAAAATACTCCCTGTTACATATTTTGGTGACCAGAGGAGGCGTCACTCCGACTGCAGGCAGCTCATGGTACCGAGCAGAGAGCATTGTGGGAGTTTAGCTCGCAACGGGCACCATGACGGAGACTTGAGTGACGCTCGATACCACGCAATCAAAATGGAGCCATAAGGGCGCTGAGTGGTGCTCGTTGTTCTGAGTCATTTTTGATTGATAAGGCTGCTGTGGTCATCAATTAGCGCCCACTGTTTCCTCGTCACCTTTCAGGTATTTTAGCGTCCGTCAAACAGCTGGTATGCGTTCCATTATATCGTATGCAAAACAGAAAGAAGTATGTCCCAATACAGAAACAAAGCTCATTTTGCACTGCAGACTGCGATGGTCAAAGTTTAGGTCATGTTGTTGCGATGAACGAGTACGTGCTAATATCTCACTAGAAAAGACTGTTACTGTCGGGATTTTTCAAAAAAACGTACAAAATTTTGCTCATTTGAGGCGTTTTTACCTTTTTCACACAAAACGATAGACAGTTTATTTTGCACTGTGGACTGCGATGGTCAAAGTTTGAGTCGTATGATCAGCATCTCATCAGTCAAACTTTGAAATAAAACACCGGCACAGTTGTGTTCGCTTGAGGCAGTTTTTGACCTTTTTGGAAAACAGCGTTTCGTGGGAGATGTTCCCGCGGATGCATCCCGGTTGTACGACGCTGCATGAAACAGTACGTCGACTTACAGTAAAAAGGAACTGGAGTGCAGTGCTGGTATTGTTTCGGGCTTGTAGCCTGTAGCGCCACCTTCTGACCAGCCTATGCAGCCTACGTTAGCCAGTCAGTCGAAACAGGTCGACTTTTCTGTATTGTTTGCGACGGGGATTTTGCTCCAAGTTGTGCTCCAAAGTTTTCCCGTATGAAACCTGGAGCCTTGATTTGCTATGTTTTGAAGTTCTCCAAGTAAAAAAAACAAACCAACAAACACCCACAGTTGAGGTAATCGTCCCTCGCTCCGGCTAAGCGATTCCCCACAGCAGCGACGGTGTCAGTTGAGAGTGTTTGTGACGCTGCCGCTGATGGCCACGGCATCGATTTGCGGTGTTGCTCTCCCCTCTGGCCTGACCTTGACCAGAAGAACAAACACACACAATCGCACAAAAAAAAAAAAAAAACCCTGCCTGACTTAGACCCTCTTACATCATCTCTGCTCGGGAATGTCATTGTCCCTCCTCGACGGACGCTCCGTCGCCTCCACGCCGGCCCCCGATCGCATCCCCTCGGTCTCAGGCCCCAGTCCAGCTGTGACAGGAGAATTAGCTGCTCGCATATTCAGATTGAAGCCCCTCCGCATGCTGAGCCGCACACACCATTTGTCACGCCGCTCAATATTTCCGGAGTTTGAAGTCAACCCGAGCCATTCATCACCTCCCTCTCCCCTCGCCGCTCCGCTCGCCTCGTTTTTAGAACTTTCCCTTTTGTAGTTTGCTGATTTCGAGAGAGGGACCCGTGTTTATTAGCACCTCTTCCTCCTCTCTCTCTCTCTCTCGCCATTAAGCTCATTTAATATTAATGACTCATTAATCCTTCGTAATAAGGCCACCGTAATGAATTGGCAAATAAAGATGGCAGAGTATTGATCAGCTTTTATGAGCTTCCATAGGCCCGCAGAGTCGAAGCGCATTAAACTCCTGTCTGCCGGCCTGAGTGGCAACGAGACAAAACGGCCTCGGCTCGGCCTTATTGTGTTTCCTCCCGCGCAGTTCGTCTTACTTGACCAAGACGAGTGTGCGTGCATGTGTGTTTGTGTGTGCTGTGCGTGGGGTGAGGCTCAGTTAATGAGCAGCATTACTTTCCTTGTCTCTATCTTTGGCAGGCACCGTGATAGGGGTGGTGATCTACACGGGCAAAGAGACCAGGAGCGTACTGAACACGTCCTTTGCCAAGAACAAGGTGAATACTTTGGGGGGTGTTTTTTTTGTTGTTGTATTGCTGCAGAATAAAAGTCCCCCGATTTGTTTTTTAGTTTTCTAAAACCAATTTTTATTCGAGGAAGAGGGTGCATCATGAAGATGTGCTATATTTAGACTCCTTATCCATTAGTTTGTTGCTTAATTTAATCATTCATTGAATATGCTTGGTCTGTAACACGGCAAATCATCACAGTTTTCACATTTATGCTTAAAAAAAAGAGAATCATATGATCATTTTTGGCTATTTTCAAGGATATACTGTTGTTTGATTATTTGCAATTAGTTCAGTTTAGTCATTTGGTCATGAATTAATTTGTCTAACAGCTGAACACACTGAATACACTTTTTTGTGTGTTTTTTTTGTATTTCTGCAAAATAGAAGTCCCCAGATTTGTTTTCTAAAATCAATATTTATTCCAGGAAGAGGGTGCATCTTGAAGATATGCTATGTTTAGATTCGTTATCCTTTAGCTTGTTGCTTCATTTTATCCTTAATCGAATATATTTGATCCGTAAAAGTGCATAAACATGCAGAAAAGAGCCATCAGAATAAACTAGACGACTTAAAATGTCCTTTTTTTTGCTATGATATTGTGTTTTTAAAAAATAAGACAAGCAGCAAATCATCACAGTTTTCAAATTTATGCTTAAAAAAGGAGAATTATATAATAATTTTGGAACATTTTTATGTGGGCCTTTCAGTTTAGCGACATCTATACTGAACAAAACTTAATATTGTTTTCAGAAGAGAGCACGTCTTGATGATGAACTATTAGGTTCATTATCCTTTAGTTTAAATCGATGTTCATTGTTTGGCAGAAAAGGCTTTCCAGAATGAGCTCGATGACTTCAAATGTCCTTTTTTTCTGTGATGACAACAAATAGGACGAGCAGCAAAAAGTTTTACAAGCTGGAAATGTAAAAATTCAGATTCACGACACTAACACAGTGTTCGTATTTATACCGGTAAGGTTTGATGTGGGCCTTTCAGTTTAGTGCATCTGTACCGATTCAATGCTGCATGTGACCTCGAACACCATTTTGGTAAACACAGAATCTGCTGTTTGGGAACTCTACGGTTTCTCACTTAACTACGGTAATAATGGACAAAGACGGAGGATCGAACCAAAGCTTACTTGCAGTGTTACAGGAAATCTAAAAGTGAGTGAAGCACAAACCTCAGCCGCCTCTTGTGCACAGTTCAGATCAGACTAAAGCGATAACAAACTCGACAGGTGTTTGAAAAGCAGCAGAAATGCCACTAAACTGTTGCGGAGGTTTTAAACACTAAATAATCGTCTACACTTCAGCCTGAAAGTCACAGCAGCCTGTGGCTTTTTTCTGATTTTCTGTTGTTTTTCCAGAATGCTCTTTGTTGAAACTTTACAAACTGTGATGAATAAAAGTTCAAACACGAGCTACAACAACTGCTGTCCAATAAAAGTACAGTTTAGGCAGGTTAATATCCTAAATTCTCACCTAAACGTGTTTTTATTGCATTGATTTGAGAGAATATCTGTTTTAATTAATCTATTTTGTGAATCTTGCTTTTTATTAGTAAGTTGCAGCAGAAGATGGACTTTTTTTTTTTTTTTTAAAGTAAAAGCAAAAAAGCAGTTTGTTTGTTTTTCTTGAACCAAAACTGTGATTTTTGTGTTTCTGTACAGCTACAAACCCAAACAGCTTCAGCTCTGTTTAACTCACATCACTGGCACCACTAAAATGCTCTCCAGGTCGTGTTTTCTATTCATCTGATATGATTCTGATGATTTAAACGGTTTCTATCCTGCGTAAGTTCCAGACGCCCGTGACGCGGTGCCAACAACAAACCCAGATATTCCCCCTCGTGCCATCACTTTCACCTCTGATCGCTAATCAATCACGGTGACAAGGTGCTTCTCTAACCTTGACTTTCCTGATAAAGTTGGACCTGTCAATGCGAAAGGTCAGCACCAGTTGCTAATTAACCAAAAGGGAAATTAACTAACCGCGGATTTAAATGACATTTTCAGCAGAAAGTTAATCCCGCAGAATCCCCATCGAGCGCTTTTGTCCCCCAGATCGAGGAGGCCGATGAAAAAAAAATTTGATGCTAAACGTAAGATTTGATCGGCTGGCTGGAGGAACCGGAGGCGACGCTTCTGACTTTAACGCGCAGAGTCGTCACCTGCAGTCCGCTCTGACACCGGCGCCTTTTATTAGGAACGCTGATGCGGCCGGTCGAAGCGCCGGGGCCCAGTGTTTTGTGTAAGCCGGACAGCTGAGAGGAACTCAATATTTCAAGGAGATGATGTCAGAAGTGCCAATATGGAGACTGGAGATTGGGGGGAGAAAGTCGATACGGTGCGGCTAAAGTCGCGGGAACGTTTTGGCCTCATATAATGTGTTGTGACACCGACGCGCGCACCGGATCAATCTGACACAGATTCACTCTGGGCGTCGCTGGACGGAGCAATGTCACCTGACAAGAGGCTCCAATAAAGATCGTCTGAAGTGTACATCCAACACGGTTACTCGTTTGTACCTCAGAGATCAATTTGATTCTTGAGTCTCTTTGTTCATTCATTTTAAAGACCGGAGGAGCCTTTTTGGTTCTAACTCGATGAATATTCATGTTCTTCATCACATTTCACTAAAATAGCAGCCACACAGGCAGATCCAATCATTCCTTTCTCTGTTTTTTCACATGAATGGAGTGAAAATATGCACTTTTATTCATTGATAGCATCTTTAGGTTTGAGGTAATTGAGTCCCCCCTTTTTTTTTTTTTTTTTCTTTCCTTGACTGAATGAATAATGACTTCATCTGATCCCCGGCGAAGGCTCGGAAAATTTAGACCGGCCATTGTTCCAGCGAGAAGGGGATCCTGCGCTTTTCAGGCAGTTGCACTGTGCTCTCTGTCTTAATTTTTCTTCATTTTAATCCACCCAAAACCTGCTATTTTTCTCAATAGCTCAACCATGAAGCATGTAGCGAGGCTCCGGGGTGGGGAGAAGCCAGCCCGCCCACCAGCCCACCAGCCCACCAGCCTCCTCGCTCTGCTCTTTCTGCTACTGGCCAGTTTTACCAGCGACTGATAAATCAGTCACACTGGTCTGTGGCGGTCCTCAGGGACATGGTGGGGGTTTAGCCAGCGCAGGAATTCTGCAGCTTTTTTATATACGTGGCTGCCCCCCTCCCCTCCTTTTCAGAGCAGCTCCTTTTATTTGCGGGAGGAGAGATGTTATGTTCTGCTGTTTTTGTAAGCGTGGTGCGTCAGATGAAAGGCCTCTGTGTACCGGGCTGCGCTGTGAGCGCTGCCAGAAAAGGGGAAGGGCGCTTCTTTATTTGACATCTTTTTCCCACATGCTCCATTGGCTGGGAGATACACTCGAAAAATAAAAGACAATTCTGACCCCTTTTTTTTTTTTTTCCCTCCTCTTTCTCTCTCTCGCCAGCGAACCGTCTCAATATGGGAACTTTCTCTATTTTTGAGGCCTTTTGACCTCCCCGTGCGCTCAAGGACAATACTCGAGCGTCACAATAATGCAGTTTTGTAGTTTACCACAAACTTATTTGTGCACAGTTTGCATGATAAAAGCCCGCAGCTCCCTTTCAGCGGCTTTGTTTTGGGCGCTTGTGCAGCATATTGTCAGGGTTTTTAGGAGCAGATGGGAAAGTTACAAAGAGTCTTTTCTGGTGTTAGTTGTCAGGAGAGGAATAAGATGTTTGCTCTGTCTGTGTCTGGACTTAATATTTTAGGTTTATGAATCGTTCAAGTGCTTTCTAATGGAAAGGCAGCTGTCTGTGAGTGGCAGAAGGAAGCCGATCAAACATGATAAACGTCTCTTCGTTAGGTTTGCTTGCCGTCACAAATCAGCAGCAGCATCTGATTCACCTGCAGTTTTATAGCATAAAGTATGTGTGCTTGTAGAGGTACTTGTGGAAGTTTATGAGATATA